TGAGAGGATTCACCAGAGACAGAGTGGGGAGCAGAACAGGCAGATTGACGAAGTACACTGCTGAGGGGAGCAGCGGGCGGGTCAGGAGAGGTCTGCGGCACCACGTGGTCACCTCCGGGGCAGGCGGGGATCGAACTCATGCAGAAGTGGCTTTAACTTCTTAATGCTGTGCTTTAACCCGCTGCGCCACCAGGGAGGGCCTGCATGCTGAGTTTTTACACAGCAAAGCAGTTGCAAATTTTTCTAATATTTATAAAAAGCTGTATCAATTTTAAGAGTTTAATTGAAGAAAATGCTTTTTAACTCTATGAAGCCTCAAGAACAGAAAAAATTTTGTAATAATCTTTAAAGTTGAACTTCCAAGCTGACAAAACCTAATTGTCTATTGACATTCTAAAATTAAATTTTATAATAAAAAATAGGCAGAGGATCCAAATAGATCCTTTTCCAAGGAGACACAGAGGTGGACAACAGGTACATGAACAGGTCAGTCTCCCAAATCATGGGGGAATGAAGACCAACCCGCAAGCTGGCCCCCCAGGCCTGCGGGGGCCGGGCACCCCCGGGACTGCACCTTCACACTTAGTTACCCAAGTCAGCAGCGGCACGGAATGTTCTGGGGGAGATCATAGCCACTATTCATGACAGTAATAGCATGATCTTTCCTTTTTAAGGATATTCAAACTCTTACTGTGGGTTCATTATAAATTAATCTAACACAGCGATGTGTGCTTAGGAATAATATGGCTTATACAGCTTTGGACCAGTCTGAGTTCTAGGCACCAGCTGGGCACGCTGGGAGTCTCTCCTGCAGATAAGGGGCAGAGAGCTAAAATAAAAAAGGGACACATCGAGTTCTGGCAAAAGATGTGGGGAAAACGGGACACCCCTGGACTGCTGTTGTCCACATACACAACCAGGAATGGAGATTCCACGAAAAGGAAAATCAAGCTGCCACGTGACCCAGCAACTCCACTTCTGGGTACAAGGGGAAAGAAACGCTAATTCAGAAATGTACTCATCTGTGTTCACCACACCATCACACACAACGGGACAGACAAGGTTCCAGCGATGGATGGAGGATCGAGTCTAGTGTGTCTGTATGTGTGTCCCTGTCTATGTACTGGAAAATGCTCAAACAGTTTTTAAAAAGATGAAAGGCCAGTGGATTTTAATAGAAAACCCAGATATAAACCCACAGGTTTATGGGCAGCTAATCTTTGACAAAGGAGCAAAGAAGATACAATGGAACAAAGAAAGTTTGTTCAGCAAATGGTTCTGGGAAAACTGGGAAGTTACATGCAAAAAAATTAAACTAGATCACTACCTCACACCATACACAAAAATCAACTCAAATTGGACTAAAGACCCAGATATAAGAACGGAAACCATAAATACCTGGAAGCAAAGATGGGCAAGACACTACACGACATACACTTCAGTAACATCTTTGAAGATACAGCACCCAATGCAATGATAGTGAAGACAAGGATAAGTAGATGGGACTACATCAAGTTAAAGAGCTTCTGTACAGCAATAGAGACATTACAAAGACATCCCACTGATTGGGAAAAAATTTCTCACACAAAACTAGCAATAAAGGATTGATCACAATGATATACAAAGAACTGATGAAACTCAACAAAAATAAACAACCCCATCAAAAAATGGGCAGAACAGCTAAAAAAGTCACTTCTCCAAAGAGGTAATGCAGGTGGCCAACAAGCATATAAAAAATGTTC